TAAGGCAAAACGCAATAGATGATGATGTAGGATCCCTTGAGGCACCATTAAACACCACATCTTGTTCCATGGAGTGTTCGGTTTCCTCTACATTGTTAGCACAACAATTCGAGGAAATAGATGCATTTTTATCATGGCAACAAAACATAGCAAGCATATCATCATGATATTTAGTCAAGCAATTTATACATGATATGCAAGGACTATCAACACAAACATGTGAAACATTTGGAGTGCTCGAAGTGTTAAAGCCCAAAGAAGGAGCATTGCAATAATATAGTGATGAAGGACCATCCACAATAAGCATACTATCATCATTGCAATGACCAACACTACTCACCATATCATTACCTTGTGGCAAACCACATGTAGGTGAAGTAGAAGAAGTTGAGAAGACTATATGACCGGAGGTGGAGGGAGAACAACCATCCCCACAAATCTTGGACACACCATATTTATCTTGAAGCTTTGTCCATAACTCATGAGCATCCCGGAACGGCATGAGTTGAAATATAACTACATTGCTCAAAGCATCGAAAAGCACATTAGAGGCTTGAGCATTGAGATAAGAGTTTCTCTCATCCTCTAAAGATAATCTTTGGGGATCCTTTGGAGGAGAAAAACCCATATCTACAATTCGCTCTAAATTTGGGTCCATGACCCTAAAGAGATTAAGCATGCGAATTACCCAAACATCAAAATTTGTGCCATCGAAACTAAGAGTGTCAGAGAATCCTAATCCTCTAGTCGACATCTTTACTCTCTAGGCGGTTAAGCCCAACAAAGAGAGACGAGGCTCTGATCCCAATTGAAAGGTCGTGGATGTCGCCTAGAGGGGGGGGGGTGAATAAGCGCTTTAAAATAATTACGGTTGAGGCTTGAACAAATGCGGAATAAACCTAGCGGTTAATTTGTCAAGCACAAAACCTACAACAACTAGGCTCACCTATGTGCACCAACAACTTATGCTAAGCAAGAAAAACTACTTAGGTGATAGCAAGATATATGACAAGAAACAATATGGCTATCACAAAGTAAAGTGCATAAGTAAAGGGCTCGGGTAAGAGATAACCGAGGCATGCGGAGACGATGATGTATCCCGAAGTTCACACCCTTGCGGATGCTAATCTCCGTTTGGAGCGGTGTGGAGGCACAATGCTCCCCAAGAAGCCACTAGGGCCACCGTAATCTCCTCACGCCCTCGCACAATGCAAGATGCCGTGATTCCACTAAGGGACCCTTGAGGGCGGTCACCGAACCCGTACAAATGGCAACCCTTGGGGGCGGTCACCGAATCCGTACACTTTGGCAACCCTTGGGGGTGGTCACCGGTACCCGTCAAATTGCTCGGGGCGATCTCCACAACCTAATTGGAGACCTCGACGCTTGCCCGGAGCTTTACACCACAATGATTGAGCTCCGAACACCACCAACCGTCTAGGGCGCCCAAGCACCCAAGAGGAACAAGCTCAAGGGTACCAAGCACCCAAGAGTAATAAGCTTCTCAACTTGTAACTTCCACGTATCACTGTGGAGAACTCAAATCGATGCACCAAATGCAATGACAAGGGCACACGGAGTGCCCAAGTCCTTCTCTCTCAAATCCCACCGAAGCAACTAATGCTAGGGAGGAAAATGAGAGGAAGAACAAGAAGGAGAACACCAAGAACTCCAAGAACTAGATCCAAGGGGTTCCCCTCACATAGAGGAGAAAGTGATTGGTGGAAATGTGGATCTAGATCTCCTCTCTCTTTTCCCTCAAAAACTAGCAAGAATCCATGGAGGGATTGAGAGTTAGCAAGCTCGAAGAAGGTCAACAATGGGGGAAGAACACGAGCTCAAAGGATAAGGTTGAATGGGGAAGAAGACCCCCTTTTATAGGAGCTCCAGAATCCAACCGTTATGATCACAGCCCGCACAGAGCGGTACTACCGCTCCAAGGAGCGGTACTACCGCTAGGGCGATAGTACCCCTTCGAAACACAATAGCGAGGAGGCAAAAAGGCCAAAAGAACCGTCGGAGTGGTAGTACCGCTCGTCCTCACGGTACTACCGCTCGACCTCATGGTACTACCGCAAATGGTAGCGGTACTACTGCTCGCGAGCGGTACTAAAAAAATACTTCTGTGCCTACTTCCGCTGAGCAAAACACGAGATTTTGGTCCGGAGCGGTACTACCTCTTAGGATCCACGGTAGTACTGCTCTGGAGCGGTACTACCGCTCAGGAGCCGCGGTAGTACCGCTCTGGAGCGGTAGTAAAAAATTACTTCTGCTCTAGTCGCGGTAGTATCGCTGCAGCCTTTACCAGAACAGCCACAACTTTTGCAAACGGACTCCGAATTCAATGACATGGGAAGTTTGTTGGAAAGCTAACGACATGGGATAACACAATATTGATAGAAATATCAAGAATAAGCAAATGACAAAAGTCCCATAAGAAAATGGTGAGAACCCTTCACCGGATAAGACCGGTAAAACCTCCAACACCGAAAACATCATAGAAGACGCATGCGAACTCCATTTTCGATGAACTCAAGCTTGTCATCAAGATGACCATAAGCTCTAAGACTCACAAATATAACCAAACAAGAACCAAGAAACATGATGCAAGGATGCAATGGTTTGAGCTCTCTACTAACGATACGATCAAGCTACCAACTTGAGAGCCCCCCTTGATAGTACGGCAAACGATCCTATAACTCGGTCTCCCAACTACCATCACGAGACCGGTAAAATAGAAAACCTATCAAGGGAAAACCTTTGCCTTGCACATGGTCCACTTGATCTAGATGAACACGATCTTGACTACCTCAAGTTGGACCACCTTTCTTGATTGTGTTGGCTCGATGAAGACTAGATGATTGCTCCCCCATAGTCCACTATGGGTGAGCCACTCTTAGGCACATCTTCACAAGTCCATTGACACCACAATGGATGGCAAGATTCAAGCACTTGATCTCTTCGTGATGCTCCACTTGAACTTGCACATGGCAATCTTGATGACGATCACCACTTGATGTCATCCTTTCCATGGGTTGTATGATATCTTCCTCTTGACGCAAGCCCATGGATACGTACCTAAGCCCACATACAACTCTCACATAGACCATGGGTTAGTACAGAAAGTGCAATGGACAATGCTTACCATACCATGGGATCACTTGATCCCTCTCGGTACATCTTCTACGCTTTGTGAGTTGATCAACTTGATTCACTCTTGACTTAGTCTTGATCAACCTTGAATCTTTGCAACTCTCTTCATTTGGATGATGTCTTGAAGGTAAACATGAATGATCACACAAGCTTCTTCTTCAAGACATGCTTGCAATAAGCTCAACACTCATATGACCAATCTTTGGATAATTCCTTAATAGCAGCTTGGTCATCACAAACTCTTATTGAAACCAACAAATGGACTCCAAGAAAAGCCTATGGGAAAATCCTTCAAATATAACTCAAGGCAACCATTAGTCCATAGAGATTGTCATCAATTACCAAAACCACACATGGGGGCACCACATGTCCTTTCACGGAGGCAGTTATAGATGCCCTAACAAAACTTCGTAAGAAGATATTGCGAGAAATAGTTGAGGATCGAACTCTATCTCAAAATAAAAAATAGATGTTTTACTACCAGTCACAAGCTTTATGTTAGGTGTAGTACTCATACAGGAACTTATGAGCAAGAATTGCTCTATCAATCACCATCTACATTAGATATATCTTCTGAAACTTTTTTCGAATCCAAAAGTTCAGTACCTTCCTACAAATTAGTGAATTAGGAGGGGGGGCTCTTTTGTGTAGAAAAATAAAAACCAGGACAATCTTTCAAACTTGCATCCGAAATGTGAAATATTTATACAAAGAGGGAGAGATGAAGACAATGCATCAGGGTTGGTTATCTAATTGGCTAGTCAAACATGAGGTGGTTCATAGATCTTTGGGCTTTGATCACCGAGGAATAGAGACTTTACAAATGAAAGCAGGGGATTAGGATTCCATTGCTGTCATTTTATATGTATATGGTTACAATTATTCTTAAATGAAATTATTTTATTCTTTTAGTTGGAGTTGGTGGAACCTTAGGTGGTTCTCGGAAGAAGATAGCGAAAAAAATTATCCCTAAAGTCAAAACTAAAAGGAACGTATAAACCAATGCTTCCATAGTTTCGATCCTGGTTTATTTACAATTGTAACTTCCACACCCTATTCATTTGTCATTTGGGATAATTTCCCATATAAAGAAAGAAAAAGAGTCAAAGAAAGGATGGGAGATGTTTCCCATGTCAAATCAAAAAAAAGAGGTGAAAGATACTATAACAATGTGTATCAGGCTGCCTGTTTCCTTGTAGTTGGATCTCCCACTTTTTGGAATGTTCCAAATTTCACTTGAGCATCCAAATCTGGATCAATACCAGCAAAAACATCTCGGAACAATGTTCTAGCGCCATGCCAAATGTGTCCGAAAAAGAAGAGCAAAGCAAAGGTAGCATGACCAAAAGTGAACCAACCCCTTGGACTGCTGCGAAAAACACCATCAGATTTCAAAGTAGCCCGGTCTAATTCAAAAAATTTCCCCTAATTGAGAACGCGTCGCATATTTTTTTACAGTAGCAGGATCAGAATAACTTACTCCATTAAGTTCGCCACCATAGAACTCCACCGTTACGCCTACTTGTTCAACACTATATTTGGATTCTGCTCTTCGAAAAGGAACGTCTGCTCTAACAATTCCCTCCTCATCTACCAAAACAACCGGAAATGTTTCAAAAAAAAGTAGGCATACGGCGTACAAAAAGCTCACGTCCTTCTTTATCTCTAAAGACGAGATGTCCTAACCATCCAACAACTATTCCATCCCCATTGTCCATTGAGCCTGCTCTGAATAATCCCCCTTTTGACGGATTATTACCAATATAATCATAAAAGGCTAATTTTTCGGGAATTTTAGACCAAGCTTCTGATAAACTAAGATTTTCGGCTAAACCATTGCTAACTCTTCAATATATTTCTTGCTGAAAGTATCCATGATCCCACTGATAATGAGTAGGCCCAAATAATTCAATTGGGGTCGTTGCTGACCCATACCACATAGTTCCAGCAACTACGAAAGCTGAAAAAAATAGCAGCGATACTACTGGAAAGTACATTTTCAATATTGTCCATACGTAATCCTTTATATAGACGTTGAGGCGGACGGACACTAAGATGAAATAAGCCCGCTAATATACCCAATGTACCCGCAACAATATGATGAGAAGCTATTCCCCCCAGAACAAAAGGATCAAAACCTTCTGCATGTTGGAAATATGCCCTAGAGGCAATAATAAAAGCGTTATTATTATATTTCCTTGTTCATGATAATTGTCTTTTATTCATGCTATAACTGTATTATCCGGAAATCGTAATACACGTGTGAATACATAGACCATAACATGTCCCTAGTGAGCCTCTAGTTGACTAGCTCGTTGTCAACGGATAGTCATGGTTTCCTGACTATGGACATTAGATGTCATTGACAACGGGATCACATCATTAGGAGAATGATGTGATGGACAAGACCCAATCCTAAGCATAGCACAAGATCGTGTAGTTCGTTTTGCTAGAGCTTTTTCCAATGTCAAGTATCTCTTCCTTAGACCATGAGATCGTGTAACTCCCGAATACCGTAAGAGTGCTTTGGGTGTACCAAACGTCACAACGTGACTGGGTGACTATAAAGGTGCACTACAGGTATCTCCGAAAGTGTCTGTTGGGTTGACACAGATCGAGACTGGGATTTGTCACTCCGTATGACGGAGAGGTATCTCTGGGCCCACTCGGTAATGCATCATCATAATGAGCTCAAAGTGACCAAGTGTTTGGTCACGGGATCATGCATTACGGTACGAGTAAAGTGACTTGCTGGTAACGAGACTGAACGAGGTATTGGGATACCGACGATCGAGTCTCGGGCATGTAACATACCGAATGACAAAGGGAATTGTATACGGGGTTGTTCGAATCCTCGACATCGTGGTTCATCCGATGAGATCATCGAGGAGCATGTGGGAGACAACATGGGTATCCAGATCCCGCTGTTGGTTATTGCCCGAGAGCCGTCTCGGTCATGTCTACGTGTCTCCCGAACCCGTAGGGTCTACACACTTCAGGTTCGGTGACGCTAGGGTTGTATGAATATGAGTATGCAGTATACCGAATGTTGTTCGGAGTCCCGGATGAGATCCCGGACGTCACGAGGAGTTTCGGAATGGTCCGGAGGTAAAGAATTGTATATAGGAAGTGGTATTTCGGCCATCGGGAAAGTTTCGGGGTCACCCGGTATTGTACCGGGACCACCGGAAGGGTCCCGGGGGTCCACCGGGTGGGGCCACCCATCCCGGAGGGCCCCATGGGCTGAAGTGGGAGGGAAGCCAGCCCATAGTGGGCTGGTGCGCCCCCCTAGGCCCACCCCCTGCGCCTAGGGTTGAAACCCTAGGGTGGGGGGGGGCGGACCACATGCCTTGGGGGGCACTCCTCCCCCCTTGGCTGCCGCCCCCTTGGGAGATTGAATCTCCCAGGGCCGGCGCCCCCCCTGGGGGCCTATATAAAGGGAGGGGGGAGAGGGGCAGCCGCACCCTGAAGTCCTGGCGCCCCCTCCCCCTGCTACACCTCTTCCTCCTCCGTCACGTGCTTGGCGAAGCCCTGCCGGAGTGCTGCTGTTCCACCACCACCACGCCGTTGTGCTGCTGCTGGAGCCATCATCATCAACCTCTCCTTCCCCCTTGCTGGATCAAGAAGGAGGAGACGTCATCCGCTCCGTACGTGTGTTGAACGCGGAGGTGCCGTCCGTTCGGCGCTAGGATCTCCGGTGATAGGATCACGACGAGAACGACTACTTCAACCCCGTTCTTTTGAACGCTTCCGCTCGCGATCTACAAAGTGGTATGTAGATGCATCTCCCTTGACTCGTTGCTTAGATGAACTCATAGATGGATCTTGGTGAAATCGTAGGAAAATTTTCTGCAACGTTCCCCAACACTGCACCCCACGCTGGATTTACAACTTGTACTTTTCCAGTTAGTCCATAAGGATCGGATACCCATATCCCAGGACCATACAAACCCGTTACATGAAATGCCCCAAAGCCAAAGCAAGCCACCCCTGCAAGAAATAAATGAATTTCAAAGATCTTGGGCAAATCCAAAGAGGGTTTTCCCGTCCGCTCATCAAAGAATATTTCTAGGTCCCAATATACCCAATGCCAGATTGCTGCCAAGAAACACAAGCCAGAAAACACAATATGCGTACCTGCTACACCTTCATAACTCCAAATACCCGGATTTGTTACAGTTCCTCCTGAAATACTCCAACCACCCCACGAATCCGTTATTCCTAAACGAGTCATGAAAGGAATTACGAACATACCTTGTGTCCACATTGGATCCAAAACAGGATCAGAGGGATCAAAAACTGCTAATTCGTATAAAGCCATTGAGCCAGCCCAACCAAAAACTAGAGCTGTGTGCATGAACATCATTTGTTACCTTACGTGATAGGATGATAACTTGAAAAGTAAGATGCGTTGCGACGTCACCAGTAGTAGTAGTATTATTTTAGTGGAGGAGGCAAAAACATTCACAGGTACGTACAATACTATGCTGGTGACAGTGACCTGTATTATTGACCCGAGTGATTAGCTCCTTATAAACCCTTTCAAGCCTACTCTATTCCACACTCAGAACACTAGCTACTGTCCTGCCATTCTGCTCCGCGCTTATCTTCCTCAGCTTCCCAAGTCTGCCTAAGCATCAAACGCTAGCACGTCCAAGCCGAGAAGTTCCAAGCATGTGGAAGTTTCTTGCAGCAACGGCGCTGCCGATCCTGGTCTCGCTGCTCGCCGTGCGCGCGCGCGGCGTCGACGACTACACGGCGTTCGTGTACGCCGGGTGCTCGCAGGCGCGCTACGACGCCGGCACCCAGTACGCCGCGGACGTCGACACCGTGCTCTCGACCCTCACCGACACCGCGGCCTCCACCCCCTACGCCAACTACACCCCCCCGTCCGGCGCCGCCACGGGCCTAGTCGGCCTCTACCAGTGCCGCTCCGACCTCCCGGCCGCCGTCTGCGGCGTCTGCGTGAAGGCGTCCGCCTCCAAGCTCTCCTCCCTCTGCAACTCGGCCGCCGGCGGCGCGGTGCAGCTGCGCGCGTGCTTCGTCCGCTACGGCAACGACTCGTTCCTCGGGAAGCCGGACAACACGGTGCTGTTCAAGAAGTGCGGCGGCGAGAGCGGGGACGCCGGCGTCGCGGCGCTGCGCGACGCGGCGCTCGGAGCGCTCCAGGCCGCGTCGTCCCCCGCGGCCGGCGGCTCGTACCGCGCAGGCGCGGCCGGGTACGTGCAGGCCATGTCGCAGTGCGTGGGGGACCTCGGCGCCAAGGCCTGCACCGACTGCGTCTCCGTCGCCGCCTCGCAGCTCAAGGCCGGCTGCGGCGACGCCTCCGCCGGGGAGGTCTACCTCGGCAAGTGCTACGCGCGCTTCTGGTCCAATGCCGGCACCGGCACCGGCGGGACCACCCCCGGAGGAGGCAACGTCATCGGCGGCGGTAACGCCGGCCCCATCGGTGACGGCGGCAATGGCATCGCTGGCGGAGGCAATGGCATCGCCGGCGGCGGCACCGTCGGCGTCCCGGGCGCAGGCAGCGGATACGGATACGGGTTCGTGCCGCGTCCGTACGGCGACGTCCAAGGTAAGCACATCGATCGTGCCACCACTGGCGACTTCTTGCCCTGCTCAGATCCTTGCTTCCACTTGTGCGCTATAGAATTTTCAGTTGCTGGCTGATGATCACACCACGTGTACGTACCACCTTAATTTCTGGGCTTAATTACCGTTATCTAGTTGTGCGCGCCGCGCATCGATCGGCACGGACGCTGAAGAAAATGGACATCGATTTCGGGAGCCAATCCGGTTACTTGTTACGGAAATCCGAATATAATTGTTGGATCTTGCAATGGTCCATGCAGAGCTAGCTTGCACTACGCGTACGATACAATTATGGCTTCTTTTGAGACGGGCGTAGGATTATGTTTGTTAAGAATTTAAGATCGATCACCGATTAGGCCACTACCGAAAACAGATCCGCATATTCAAATGCTTTGCAGGGTACACACCACCCTGTGTCCATGTCTGCACCATGATGGATGCACATTATAAATTTAGGGGAAGCTTTCTAGATTTGTACGTACGTACATTACTACAGTTGCTGTTTACAAAATGCAGGTTGCCTTTTCTTCAGGTTTAATTTACCTGTTAATCGGCAATACAATGCAAGGCAAATACCACAGTATGTGGTTAGAGTTTTGTTTCAGAGCCACACTTCGACAAACCTAAAGAAAATTGTACCAGGCCATGCTTGGCTACAACTGAAGTGTGTCAATGTTGTGGTAGCCGACCAAATAGGTTCTTATAGACTGACAATATAAACAGTGTGCGACATGGTCAGGGTACCTTCCGCCAAAATCTACTCCGGAAATTAGGCATGACTACTGCCTAGGGTATCATCAATGATTAGGGGCGGCAGGTAGAACGTTCCTTCAGTTTTCATTTTTCTCACACTATGCATTGCAAGTAGATCTTACTTACCCTACTGTTACAGTGTGTAAACTACTCCTAGTTAACATTGACAAGCTGACAGTTCGGCCCTGCTTGTGTTAACAAATGGACTAGTTATAATTAGCAGCAAATGATGGTGTGTGCGAACTGCAGCAAAGGTAGTGCCAAAGAGACCATGGAAAGGGCTTTTTGGCCAACACTATTTAAATCTCAACTTTCAGAAAGACTTTCATGTGGATTCACTTTCCCGATCTTCTTCATTGAGCCAAGCATACCACAAAGTGGATTCAAAATGATCCTGCCCTGCTTTGTATCGTCCGTATATCTCTCTGGCGCCCACCGTGGCTAGGGTACTCCATAGCCTTTCTTGCTTTGCGCTGTAGCTTTAAAACTTTCACTTGGCCACTTTGCACAAAGCTTCATTTGTACAAATACTAGCTGTATAGGATCATCAAACAGAGCACATGCATGGAGTGAGTGGGATGAATCTTATTTTGACATCCACGTGTTGTTCTGTTCTGTTCGTCAGATGGTTCCGGAAAGACCCTCGCCATCATCATCGGCATCGTGGCGGCGGCAGCCATCATCATCATCTTCCTCTCCTTCGTCCGAAGAGCCCGCGCCGCCAATGGTAAGACCCGCATTCGAGCCGAGAATCATTGTTGAATAATCTCAGAATGTTCATGGCATATTCATGATGAATCCAACTTGTTTTTGTCTGAACCATGAATATGCAGGCAAAAGCTAAGCTAAGGGTTGCAGCAGGGATGGTCGCCACTCGCCACTATTAGCTCAGATTTGGATCGGTCGGTGGCTTTTGGCTTCGGCGTTGCTTTAGTATCTCTCCTTTTATCTTTTAGGGTCTCTTTTGCCGTGCCAGAAAAACAAAGGGAACTGAAGATTCCAGCTGCATGCTACTAGCCACTAAGGAAAATATTACTACGCAAGAATAAGAAGATATATATTTGTTGAAGTGACCACTATATATGTGATCCATGTCCATGTTATTGTTGTACTGCTGTTCATGTCATTGTCTTTGGTTGGTGTGGTGGGCTCATGTAAAGGTGCTGTTAATTTATCGGAGGTAATCAATTAGTGCAATCTTGTGGGCTGCCGTTGGAGTAAATATAGAGATTTTCTCAAAATATATGTTGCTGAGTAATGCGGTTGGGGAACAGAATAATTTCGATCATCTTTTGCGAGAGCGGCCAGGGTTATCATCATGAGGCATTCTTAAAAATGGATCAAAATGCATCTTTATGTTATCTTTGGTGTTAAGATCATTGCTGGTGAGTCAGCATAGGACCGCCAATCAAGTCAAAAGGTACATCCACCAATTGTGAATTCAAAAGCATGAGGTATGTTAATTATGCAAACAAGGTGATGCAACTCGATCATGTGCTAATCCGCAACGCGGCAGTGACATTTGGGCCAATAATCCAGAGGGCCTCGGTCATACCAAGTATGAACATTATCTTGTAACAGAAATAGCAAGACGCTTAAAGCTCGGCAGTAGAAAATGAAGCAACAAATAGTTAAAAGTATCACACATCTATCCAATGCAACATTAAACATCACAAAAAAAAAACACTAACTATAGAAGGCTAGGAGGTTCAGCTTAAGCAGTAATACAACCACCATAAACATCTCTTACAAAATATTAGAAACCGGGGGACCAAAATATAATGCAAAGGTTGAATTCCGAGTGCTAATGTCACTATGAACATCTTCAAACTCATACCGGAGTTGCAGAAGAGGAAATTTCCCAATAAGCTTGAGCTTATAGACCAACAAGTTGTAGGTACACATGATGATCAAGGGCCACCCGAATAGAGCATGCTCGGGTACACCCAAAGGGGTTGCATCAGGTGGCACCAGATCCTGAAGTGCTGATGAACAGGATCAACAGATGGATCTGGCTCATTGCCTAACCCATATTCACTCCAAGGTTTAGGGGAACGAGCAACATATAGACATTTGCTCCTTCCTCCCCAATGTTCTGGGTTCATGCAAGAAAATGATGTACTCCTGATATCACTCCCCGTGAAGATGGCCCAATTGTCCAGCTTTTCCATATCCACCCATTTTGCAGGCTTGGTTGACATGTCAAGGTAATGGACCGTGCGTACAAATGGCACACTGGCATTGTAGTGAATACTCGTGCAAGAATGGACCAACATCAGAAGCATGTCACCGCAGACCACTAGCCATGATGTTTTAGACGGGTCTTGGGAACTCTTGGTCAAGTCAGGGGGGTGGTTAGTGGTTATCTCCTGCAGTCTAAGCTTGGGGGCCACCTCCAAAGTGTATATCTGTTGACGAAGGTCCATGGCAATGAATTGGCCGTTGAATTCCACAATCTGAATTATTTGTACACCAGAATACTGGAGTTCAGACCAAGTATCACTTCCAACCGGCCAACTAAATAAGGAGAGGCCGGTGCTAACAAGCATATGCGAGTTTGGTGATGCAAGGGGAGCTGTTAGAATGGCGCTGCAGTAAGACTCTGTAACTAGTTGTTGGAGCTCCATGATTTTTTGATTGAATGGAATATCAGACCAGTTGAGCTTCCTATAGGCATCACACAATGGGAGACGTGGAGGTGAAACCTTGGTGCCTCTAAAAGGATCAACAACAACGCAATGTCCACGGTTGTAGAAGATGAGTTGACCATATGAAGGGCCAGCACAACGCATCGTCTGCAAAATTTCTTCATCAATATGGCAGTGAAGGCCGGTGGCACTTTGCTTGGCTGGATCGATAACTTTATATGCCTGTAAGTGGCGATGACCATTGTTACATGGAGGATGAGGAACATGGACACGAATGTTGGGTTGGATGAGGAGAGGCGGGAATAAAGTGCATAAGGTGGATTTGGATGAGTATGAAGTTAATGCAACCCGCCAAGAACGGCAGGTTGCAACAAAGGCGAGAAGGTCAAGGATCGAGCCTAAGCGAGAGAATACTGATTGCAACAGATCCTTCGGGAGGTCTGCCCAATCTTGGAGCCCGAACATGCAGGTGGATGTGGAGACACATAGTTTGCTATGCCTTTGCATGATGGCGACCCCTCTGCAAACCATAATAAATTCAAGTCAAATAATTGAAAGAATGAGCCACTTAAGAAATGACAATAAAATAAGCAACTAGAATGCTATTACAATGTATACGGATATGTTGGTGACCGTAACTATATATCAGGAAACTTGTTATATATTCTCATGCTTGACACTTCTTTCCATTTGCAGACCATTGTGTCTGAAATATTACCAAATAAAAATATATTATGTGATGTTATCCTAGCCACACTATGTTTTTTTGTCGAACGCTTGTGCCCCGCAAAACCTATTGGATAAATCTACTCTAGAGTTCCAATCCTTAAATTTTGGAGTAATAAATGGCAAAAAATACTGCAACATATTACCACGAAACTAGACTTACGATATGAATGCGATGTCATCTTTGACAACGAGTATATATATAGAAGAAATGGTGAAAACAAAATAATATCTTTATTTTAAGAATCAGATACCAGATCTTGGAATCGGTGAAGGAGGAGAGGAGCGCAGCGCGGTGGAGGAGCGAGAGGCACACAGTGGGGGCAGGCGAGGGAAGAAAGAAGAATGAGGGGGTTAGGGTTTGGTATACCTTTATATACTTCCTAGGCTGGTGAGCTTAGTGGACTGGGCCAAATAAACTAGTGACGAGATGAAATGGGCTGCACTTTAGTAGAGGTCAGAGCACCAGTGACGAGCTTAGAGCATCTCCAGCCGCGCCCCCAGGAAGGCCTCCCCAGGCGATTTATTTGCGCCGGCGCCGTAAAAACGGCCCAGTCGCGTCCCCAAGACGCCGAATTCCGCCGGCTCGGGCCGTTTTTGCGCCCGGCGCTCGCAGGCCGAACCCGGCGCACTAGGGGCCGCTCGGGGGCTCCGGCGCAAGCGAAAAGTGCTCCTGGGCCCACATTGACAAGCGAAAAGTCAATCCAGCCGCCCAGATTCGCCCTCCCGCCCCCCGCGCTCGGCCGCCACCCTCCGCCACCCTGCCGATTCCGGCGCCGACCACCGCCCGCCGCAGCTAGGTAGACCGTCTCCAGCCTAGAAAAAGAAGGAGCGCCGCCGAGGCAGCCTCTTCGCCGCCGCCCCGGCACCTTTTCCGACGCTCCGGCCGCGCAGGGGCCTGTACGCCGGCGGGCTTGCGCCCACCTCGCCCACAAGGTGTTCGGTGAATTGCCCGGCCTGGCGATGGACTCCAAAGATGAGGAGGCGCTCGCGGCGTTGCTGGATGAGGAAGCCGAAGTCGACGTCCAGGAGCAAGAGCATCTCATGGAGCTCGCCGCCCTCGCCGGCCTGCTCGCGAGCAGTGAGAAGCCGCGCCGAGGTGGCTCGGCGCTTGGGCGGGTGAAAGCAAAGAACCGGCATCGTCTGGAAGGCTACTGCATGCTCTACTTGGACTACTTCGCCGACGATCCATTGCACGGTGAGAAAACATTTCGGCGCCGTTATCGGATGAGCCGAAAACTTTTCCTCCGGATTGTGAATTCCATCCGGGAGTTCGACAGCTACTTCAAGTGCAAGAAGGATTGCACCGGCACACTTGGATTCACCTCGATCCAGAAGTGCACGACAGCTATGAGGATGCTTGCATACGGAGCTCCCGGTGATTCATGACTTGGTGATTCACGACTTGCTGTGTCATCTTGCACAACATGATCATTAAGAGCAAGCAAGAAGAGCCAGTGTTTGACACTGAACCATATTACTTGCAGGGTCCTCTTGCCCAAGTTGATCACCAGATACCGGCAAACTGGACTGACTACCTCAATATGCGTCAGGAGATCCGAGACCCATAGGTGCATCAAGAACTGCAACACGATCTGGTGGAGCACCCATGGAGGCTCAAGGGCGAGGCCGGGAATGGAGATGAAACTTGAGTTTTTATTTGTTAAACGATATAATTTGTAGTGAACAATTTGATTTATGTGATGAAACAAGCAGAAAACACGCCGAACTATGTGAGGAGCTAATTGATTCCTATATGCTTGCGAAAAATTCATGCCGAAACCCGCCGAACCGCGCCGAATATGGGCCGATTCACGCAGTTATCGGGCCGTTTCTGGACATATTTGGGCCGAAAGCTGGGCTGAATTCGGCGCCTGGGGGCGACCCGGGGGCAACGGCTGGGTGCCGAACCGCCCCCAACGCCGATTTTATCGCCGGCGCAGCCCCAGGACGCTCTTTTTCGGCGCCCTGGGGGGCCGAACGGCTGGAGATGCTCTTAACCATTTAGCCGACATTGTCCACAATACTACTAGGGGAGTGCACAAATAAAGGCCCATCGGCAGTGGGGTTTTCATAAATTCTAACCATTAGTTGCAGACTCTAGTTAAAAGGTCTTTTTGGCACCCTCACTGCTGATTGTGAAATTATAGGTACTCTAAATGCAACTAAGTGAACACCCTACACGATAATACTAGACCGTGATGGCGCGGCGTTGCCGCGCCCGTCAATTTTTACAGTAAAACGGTAGGATCTTCGATAAATATATGGAGATACAAAATATGGAAGTTAAATTTGCATGAATTGATTATACTGCCAATAACTCAATAGGTGAGTTCTAATATAAGATTGTTGAGAAGTAGTGCAACAGTATGTGGACTTATTTATTTCCTAGGTCCAATGGGCTTGAGGTTTGTCCGAGCATATCTATTATGCCCCTTCATAGTAACAGAAAAATTGGAGATATGAAGAAATACAATATAAAAGAAACAAAAGTGTATCTATCTCAACTGATTTATTATTTTCATTTATGACTTCAGCAAGCAATGCTACACAAGATAAAATTCAGCAGTTATAAATGTGGTTCTAATAACACGATCACAATCATACACTCTAAATCCAACATAACCAGTTCCATGTTTTAAGAATCATGGAAACAACATAATTAATAATCCATCGTTGAAACCACAAAGTTATCAGGCAACAGACATGGAGGAGCAAAGCATGCCTAAATTTCATTTTTCAGGTTGCATCAAAGGTATATCAGTCTGGCATATGGTGTATGATTATTTGCATGATCACCTAAATGAATCATGGCATTGCTACTTAAAAAAAGATCTGATATACAAAAGTTCACTTATAGACAGATGTTAAAAAAATCTAGTTGCCATCTTACCTGCCTAACACTCTTTTACAAACTTTTTCAACAATTTTCTCTACTATATGGATAAATTCCAGTTCATTAACATACCTCCTCAGTTGCCCAGCCTTCATGTCGAGGTGGAAGATAAACAACACAGTACCCCAGGTGCTTCATTACCCGAAATCATATAAGACATTAACTTGTGGAGAAGTTTCTACATTGTAAGAAAAACATCATCGCACTAAAAGCTGAGAAGTTATTGATCATTTGGTTGAATGATAAATAAAAAATATATCTCATTTGTAACATGTGATTTACTCCCTCCGTCCGGAAAAGCTTGTCCCTTGGATGGATGTATCTAGCACTAATTTGATATTAGATGCATTCATTTGAGGGACAAGCTTTTTCGGACCGAGGGAGTATATGTTTGATAATTAACTACACGATAGTAGCCTGGTACAACTTGTGTTTGCCTATTATATCCATTTATAGAACAACTTGTTATGCTTGCACAGAATACTATTTTGGATTTTTTCGGTCTAACATATTTTTGTAGGATGACTATGATGCTCAACAGTTCTTCCAAAAAAAAATACATCATATGCTATATGGCATGTTGGTCAAGCTTTTTATAGGTACGACCAGTTAAAATACATATCTCAAATAAAATTCATGAAATGAATCCATTAAAGTCTGGCTCCCTGTTTCATTTTAATCGTCGTAATCTGGGATTCGACGCCTTGTTATAATCTGCATATTACAACAAGATACATAAAAAGGAGAGAAAAGAAGGGTTATGGAACATGCTGAGGGCAGAGTAAAGGGTTGTAACAGTCGGCTTTGTCCAGAACAGCCAAATGGTGTCAAATCCTAATCTGAATCCCCGATAACCATGCCATAATAAGTTTGTTTACAGATAAGAATGTCCTCTGTGCATCTGCTTCATAGGGCACAATAATACAATCTCCATTATATGCATTGCATATCCCATGTTTAAAAATGAAAATTCACAAGTCTTACCAAACAAATATTCTCATTCCTGTTAGGAATTACTTTAAATAAGTGGTATCAGTTGGGAATTACATGGAATATGCATCTGTACCTGGATCAGTTCAGAATCTATTTTAGGTGTAAATATCAACAACTTTTTTATAACAAAAACACTTGGCATGCAGTAATTATATTACTCTCTTAAGAGATAATTAGAGAGCACAGGGGGGAATCTCAAACAAGAAGGGCTGGGAGCATAATTCCTCAAGTTATGCTAATCTTTGCCTAGCGTTTCCTGTAGTCTGAACCAGAGGCGGCAGTTGATCAGCTTGCCGTCCTTCCTCAACAAGACCTTAACGTTGGAATTGTAGCAGCTACGGAAATGAAGAGCGGCAGGACAGGACATCAGGAGGATTACAATTTGACATGGACTAATTTGCGCAAGATGGAGGTTGAAATGTTTTAAGAGGCCTCAACAAAAAAAAAAAAAGAGTGATGGAGAGCACGAGCTAAGGCCGCCGCCGCCGCCTCACGCCCAGCGTCGTCTTTGGCTATTTGCCTCACCTCAACTCCACCGGGAAGACTCCACTGCCTCCTCGTGCCCACATCCTCGTTGCCTCTCCTCAACTCCAAGGGTCAAGTCGCCACACTCCTGCTCCCGCCGCCGGAGAGGGATTCAGAAGGGATCGCCGTGAATCCGCTGTTAGCGATCTGATTGAAGTCGCACGAACAGGAAGGAGTAAAGTCGCACGAGAGACGACTGTGGATACCGAGAGACGGAGAGAGCGGTGCAGCGAGATTACTATTGGACATCGGCCCGCCATGGAAAACGCTGTAGGAACAGACATTGAGAGGGAGAGAAAAGGGTAAAGAGACCAACCGTGGGGGGCTGCGGAGGAAGAGTACGGGGGAGTGGAAGGCACCTACGCCGAAGCAGATCAGTTGCCGAAGCTCGCCGCCGGGACGGAGAACGGCGGCGGCGCAGCGTTGACGAACAGCGGAGCAGTTTTTTTTAGGAGCAGCTCGGGCATAGGGTTAGCGACTTAGCGCCGCCGCGAGGAAATCGCTTGGTGCACGTTGGACAGGAGCTGGGCCTTCTATCTTAAAGGCCCGGTTGCGGACGAAAATGTGGCTCATAGGTAACGACGTGGATTTGTCAAAAAAAAAAAAAAGGTAACGAGACAAATCGAGTAAATTGCACGGAAGTACCATGTATTGGAAGTAGATTGGTACCAAAATTGATAATTTTTACGTGTTAGTATCAACTTTAGGGTGAGACGTTGCAAAAAAAGCTAAAACTGTTGTTTATACGTATTGAAGGTAACTGACCGGTTGGGCCCGCCACCCGAGCAGAAAACTCCCTTTCTTTATACGTAATCACATAAATGCCCAATTATTTCGGGAAAAAAGCTCCTATAAAAGCCTTTTTTTCGTTCGTAATTTCCACCACCGATTTGGACTTGTTTGAAAATTTGCGTTGGTTTGAAAATTTGCGAGGAAATCGCTTGGTGCACGTTGGACAGGAGCTGGGCCTTCTATCTTAAAGGCCCGGTTGCGGACGAAAATGTGGCTCATAGGTAACGACGTGGATTTGTCAAAAAAAAAAGGTAACGAGACAAATCGAGTAAATTGCACGGAAATACCATCCATTGGAAGCAGATTGGTACCAAAATTGATAATTTTTACGTGTTAGTATCAACTTTAGGGTGAGACGTTGCAAAAAAAGCTAAAACTGTTGTTTATACGTATTGACAGGTAACTGACCAGTTGGGCCCGCCACCCGAGCAGAAAACTCCCTTTCTTTATACGTAATCACATAAATGCCCAATTATTTCGGGAAAAAAGCTCCTATAAGAGCCTTTTTTTTCGTTCGTAATTTCCACCACCGATTTGGACTTGTTTGAAAATTTGCGTTGGTTTGAACAAATAAATAAAACAAACCAAAATTGAATCCCGCGCAGGATTCGAACCGCCGACCAGGGCTCAGCAGAGCAGTGCGCTAGCCGCTAGCAGCGCTCGCGACGTACAGCAGGCTAGAATATTTTTATACTAGACCAAAGACGTTGGGCCGGCGCTTGGCCCAGCGAGGCTGCACACTGGTTTACTGTTTTTTTAATCATGAATACTAATACATATATTTTTTGCGATTACATATTAGTATTATTAAGTGTCAAGCACCAGACTAGAACACAGGCATGGCCCAAATTTAATGTGTCTGCGCTGAGGACCACAACCATGCACAATTACTATGTATCCTAATTATATTATTCAAATACACAACTTTAAAAAAAATATGCCAACACACAGATTTTTATTTGAGTTACTCGCATATTGATTGTATTTTTTTTAAATGCACTGTTACTTAAAAAGTTGACAACATGTATTAAAAATGAATGTGTAATGATAATAAATTTTAGAAATGCATTAAAACTGTTCAACTTTTTTTAAAAAAATTAACCTGTCTCTTGAATTGCAAGAATGATTTACATAATAAGTTTCTAACACATGCTGAACATTTCTTGAAATACAAATAATTCACCATGTATTAAGAAAATGTTCACCATAATGCTCTTGAAACTCATCGTGTATTAAGAAAATGCTCACCATAAATTACAAAAAAATCACCGCGCATTAAGTAAACTTTTCTTCATATCTTAAGAAAATATTTCAACATATATTACAAAAATATTCAATTTGCATACAAAATATGTTCAACGTTCATATTATAAGAAAAATGTTCACCGTTTCTAAAGAAAAGTTCATCGTGCATTAAAAATGTTCACTATAAATTAAGAAATTATGTAATCATAATATTCATGAAAATCATCATGTATTAAGAAAATGTTAACCATAAATTACGAAAATTTCACCGCGCATTATATAAATTATCACCATATACTAAAACCCGTCATAAAAAATATTCAGTAAATATGTTAAAAGTCCAGGAGAAAACCAACTAGTGAATGAAAAAGAAAGAAAGAAAAAGCAAGGGAGGAAAATCTAAAATAAGCCAAAACTAGAAACAAAAAAATATAAAGCATAATGAGTAAGAAAAATGAAACATAAAGAGAGCCCCAACGAAAAAATATTGCAGGCCTTGGTGGGCCGGCCCAGCGTTCCCGAGCTAGTATAAAAAGAATCTCGCCTGCTATGCTCTGGCGGGGTGGCTTGCACGCGTCGCTGTGGAACAGCGGGTCGGCGGTTCGAATCCTGCGTGGGATTTAATTTTAGTTTGTTCTATTTGTTCGTTCAGACCGACGCAAATTTTCAAACGAGTCCAACTCGGTGGTGGAAATTACGAACAGAAAAAAGGCTCTTAATTGGGCATTTATGGGATTACGTACAAAGCAAGGGGTTTTCTGTAAAAAAACATGCCACTTCAGCACCCGACAGGCGGGCCCAACCGGTCAATTTCCCTGTCAATACATATAAACATCAGTTTTAGCCTTTTTGCAACCTCTCGCCCCAAAGTTGGTACTGACACGTAAAAATTATCAATCTTGGTACCAATCTGCTTTCAATGCACGAATTGTGGTACTTCTATGTAATTTACTCAAGCAAATCACGCGCGTTCGTACAAACGATCCGACGGCAAAGAAGGCTAAATCGCTGTGGAGGCTCATAGATAGTTGCATTATACTATTTCTCAACTAGAACAACAAGGCGCGTGTTGGCGCGCCCGCCATCTTGATGAAAGAATCTCAACACAATATGAATATCGATTAAGAAATTGAAGGTATAATTATCAATTGAGATTTGAATTACTGTATAGAAGTCAGCCACGTGAGATTTTAAAAGAATCCTTCGCAAATCCATAAGATACTGCGAATGTTCAAAAGATTGACAATGTGAGTTAATTATGACTTGTGTTGTGAAGTACGCAAATAGGACAAAATACTGGATTTAGCATTTGAACATTAATACTTATGAGCATCCTCGTATGATCATCTAAATTGATATAATGAAGGTTTGTGTGCATCACTCGATGTAGAGGCCGAGGGCTTTACCTTAATTTTAAAAAATAACCTAAATTCACATAATAGACTATATATTGTAGCTATTAGATCAAATGGACCACATAAAGAGCTAAATATGAGAAGGAAGAGTGCCAGACCTGCTGAAGCTAATGAAATAACTTTGA